GGATACTTCAAGTTTAAACTTTATACAACATAAGTATAGAGTTACATCACGTTATGTTATCAGCTGTACACGTCTTTCTTGTCCACTAAGTCACACTGTACACGTCATTCTTGTCCACTAAGTCACACTGTACACGTCATTCTTGTCCCCTAAGTCACACTGTACACGTCATTCTTGTCCACTAAGTCACACTTTACACGTCATTCTTGTCCCCTAAGTCACACTGTACACGTCTTTCTTGTCCCCTAAGTCACACTGTACACGTCTTTCTTATCCTTTTGTCCATATACTTGTACTGTACACATTATGTACGCCCATTTCTGTATAACAATATATATATATAGCAGTTAATCTCATGTTATGACGACAACAATCAATATAAATGTACTGTTGAACAATTCACTTCTTGCTATAATTACAACAGGTAAATCAAACAACAATTTAGGGTAAATGCCAAAAAACAGTAATAATGTGTAACGCTGTAGTTCAGGGTTAGAAAACGATCATGTACAGTATGTTACCTCCTCTGTAGTTAATACAGCATCTTCATCAAGGTTTAATATGGCATCGGTTTGAATGAGGGGATGCGGGTGAAAGCGTGAACTGATTGTCTGGAAATAAATGAAAGACACATATTATTAAGATAAAATACTTTAATAATAAAACCGATTATTCGTACGTCTTACTGGCCTCTTTAGACAATTGTAAAAATAAACCCAATATTTATCTCCTGGTATGTAATAGTTGTTAGTCTGTAATATCTTTCATGCAACGGGACGCGAACCACGGTCCTCTAGGCCGTGTCAGACCCTTGTAAACTTGTGGTCAAGTCCGACACAAATATGACTAACCAAGCAAAACAATGGATAATCTGATGATAGGAGATCTTTAGAGAATTTAGTACCAAAACCAGTAAAGTTGGATAATTCGGTTTAAAATGTATGTGTCAAACCTGTTTAGACATTTCGGTCAAAGTTGATTTATGGTTCTAATCCTTACCTTTTTGAAAGATATAACCTACCCAGTTAATGGTCAAAATTCGGCTTTGAAACGTTAACCCTTACCTCCTGAAGTATATAACCTACTCAGCCAATTCAGTGAGACTTTGGCTTTGAAACGTTAACCCTTACCTTCTGAAGTATATAACCTACTCAGCCAATTCAGTGAGACTTTGGCTTTGAAACGTTAACCCTTACCTTCTGAAGTATATAACCTACTCAGCCAATTTAGTGAGACTTTGGCTTTGAAACGTTAACCCTTACCTTCTGAAGTATATAACCTACTCAGCCAATTTAGTGGGACTTTGGCTTTGAAACGTTAACCCTTACTTTCTGAAGTATATAACCTATTAAGCCAATTCAGTGAGACTTTGGCTTTGAAACGTTAACCCTTACCTTCTGAAGTATATAACCTATTAAGCCAATTCAGTGAGACTTTGGCTTTGAAACGTTAACCCTTACTATCTGAAGTATATAACCTACTAAGCCAATTCAGTGAGACTTTGGCTTTGATTGTGATCCTTAACTTTTGGGGTATATTAAGATCTACTCGGCCAATTCGGTTAAAGATTATATACATTCCTAACCCTTACCTTTTTGAGAGGTTATATCATAACCTCCCCTGTTGATTCCGTCACAGCTTCTCTACGTTCTAACCCTTATCTTTCTGGGAGGTTATATCATAACCTACTCTGTTGATTCCGTCACAGCTTCTCTACGTTCTAACCCTTACATTTTTGGCAGGTTATATCATAACCTACTCTGATGATTCCGTCACAGCTTCTCTACGTTCTAACCCTTACATTTTTGGCAGGTTATATCATAACCTACTCTGTTGATCCTGTAACACCTAATCTTACCCTTTGAAGATGTTACATGATAACCTAAACAGTCAATTCAGTAACAGGTTGGATATGGTTCTAACCCTTACCTTTTGGGGAGGTTGTATGATGTTGACTGGAACAGGAACGTGAGGCAAGTTGGAGACTGTAGGAGGCGCAGTTTCTCCATTCCACAACACCATAATCTGTATTATACAAGGTGTTATAGAAACACGATATATATGATAGGTAAAAACAGACAACAACAACAAACATTATATAGAGAAATATTTATTAAAATAAACTACTTGTAATCTTGTAGACAAACAACTATTATGCTAAAATAACAAGTTTCAAGAACAAGATATTTTTCTTCTTTTCATGTACACAAGAAAAACTGTTTTTGTTTTTTTTATGGCATATCGTATTGCGCTGTCAGGTTACAAAGGTATTTCAACTGCCCGTTCCATGAAAAGGAGATGATATTTAGGCCTCTGCAGAATGTTTTGGTATAGAATCCGAAACGTTGTATCCGTTTCGTTCAATAGACAGTTGTAGTTCATTAAATATCTGAAACCTACTATATCTGATCTGCCTCAAGTTCCATTGTAATTACAATATTATTGTTACATTGTTGCTACAGGAGGGAAGTCTTAGAACAATATAGATTAGCAACGTTATTAGATAGCTCTTTGACAGTTCTCGCCTAGGCCCGGATAAGGCGCTCGATTTATCAATCTGAGGGTCGCGGGTTCGAATCCCCGTCCCACCAAACATGCTCGCCTTTTCAGCCGTCGGGGCGTTATAATGTGACGGTCAATCCCACTATTCGTTGGTAAAAGAGTAGCCCAAGAGTTGGCGGTGGGTGGTGATGACTAGCTGCCTTCCGTCTAGTCTTACACTGCTAAATGAGGGACGGCTAGCGCAGATAATCCTCGTGTAGCTTTGCGCGAAATTCAAAAACAAACAAACAGTTCTCGCCATAAATCTCTCTCCCACAAAGTAATTGCACAATAACATACTTTGCAAAGTAACATGAATTTTAACGTTAATGAAGGAAAAAAATCCTGTTACTTGAAAAACAGTGATGAATATTTTGTTTCCTTTGTGGAATTTCGCGCAAAACTTCTAGAGGTCTGTTGCACTAGCTGACCCTAATTTAGGAGTGATAGTTCGAATACAAGCTAGGCAACCCCACCCACCACCAACTCTTGGGCTAATTTAAATGAATAACAATATAACGTTCTCACGGCTGAAAGGACCAGCGTGTTAGGTAATGGTATTCGAATTCGCGACCCGCACATTTCGAGTCGAGCGCCCTCACCATCATCACAGTTAAATCTTTAATAAAAGATATTATTTAAAAATGTGCAAGAAGTAATTATGTGAACAACTAAACAACATTGTCAACTTACTCTTGAAATAAACGAAGATTTGGCGAGATTTTTGATGAGCCGGAAAAGTGGTGAAGAGGATGACACGACTGGCAACGTGGCGTAGATGACAGCGGTGAAATTATGGCGTAAGGATGTCTCAAGGTGGCGCCAGTGAAAAGGGAAATCTCGTAAAATGTCAGAGAACTGGGGAAACGTTACAAGTGTCCCAGGGTGGGAATTCCAAACAAAATAGCTTCGAGAATTATGAATATTTATCCTATCCCGAATAATCTGAAAGAGATAAGAATTACAAATTAGATTCAAGATGAGAATTCCAAACAAAATGGCTACATAATTCTAGGCTTAGTGAAAAAAATGAAAACGAAACAGAATTGGACAAGAAGAATCTGAACAAAACTGGATACCTTAAAAATATTCTAGTGCTTGAAGTATCCGTGACTTAGTGGACAATAAAGACGTGTACAGTGTGACTTAGGGGACAAGAATGACGTGCACAGCCTGGCTTAATGGACAAGAAAGACGTGTACAGTGTGACTTAGGGACAAGAATGACGTGTACAATGTGACTTAGGGGACAAGAATGACGTGCACAGCCTGGCTTAGGGGACAAGAATGACGTGCACAGCCTGG